GAGCCCAGGGTAGATGAGTCGAAGTTGAAGCCGGAATTTGGGTAAGTAACTGCCGATCTGATGTTCAAAAGTTATTGTCGGTTATAAGAAATGATAACAGATACATTCTGTGAAAATAATGTATAGTTAAATGCCAGAAGAATCACAAAATAGCAAAGTTGGGTCTGAGCTTGCAAAACTGCATCCATCCAGTACGGCGCCATCGTGATGAGACATGACCATTGACTGTGGTTGTTATCAGTTTGGCGTAATCCTTTATCATGTCCATTAAAGATAAAGATCATGTTTGTTTGGGATCAAGGGCAACATTGAGTGAAAGGAGGCACTTGGATGGAAATCAATCTCCCCCATCTTTCCTTATAGTTTCACTATTTCACATTGAAGTTAGGAAGACAGCAACCATTGTGGTTGTCTTGGAGAAACAAAATAACTATGACTGAGCAACAACAGTAGTGCTGTACAAAATAAGAAGATATTGCAGTTTCAATCGAATGACTCCCTGAATCAAAGCAGTGTCTATCCCGAGGTCTCTGGCCTTGGGAGCTCTGCTCAGCTACAGTATGTAGAGAGTGAGAGGACTGCTCTGTGTTCCTGGGGCAGTTATCTGATCTCTCTGAAAGCTGCCACAACACTGAACATCACAGCTTTTACATGTGGGACAGAGGGAGAGAGAATCAACTTAGTTAAGTGGCATGATATCCACAATCAGATTATTTTTCATTACCAGCACCAGCACTTGCCATTGTGGGTATAGTAAAGTACTGTATAGAAAAACTGCTGGTAAAGCTCTGTTGGATCAGCTGGCTCTTCAACCATATTATCTGTAGCCAAGGTGCAAGGCATCTGTCAGACAGAGCTCTGAGGAGACCACTGTTGCGCTGGGCTGTTTCCTCAGCCTCTCAGCTCAGATGTTGATCACTCAGGGGATGTGTTGTTTCAACTCTGAAGGACACAGTCGGGCCGAGCCACACACACCACTCCACTTAACCTCCCTCCCGCTCCACACCAGTCATTGTTTAACTTCAACATGAGGGAGATGACAACATGACACCGCTACACAAACCCACACCACAACTCTTTGATGTGTTTTATGGCAGAGGAAAGCCTTATGGGCTGGGGTGGATCCTCCTTCTTTAGTCAGCCTCTTTCACCCAACCTGCTCTGACACTCCACTCATGTTTTTACGTTGACCAATGTCTGGGTGAGCTAACCTATAGGGAACAACACTGTAGTGTGAGAGCTTGAATGTAGGCTACCCAAGGGCTCATTTACCAGGTGAAGCATCACATGAGCGAGAGAGAAGGGCAGTACTGTATAGTACGTTGAGCATTGGCATGGGAAACATGAAGCTAACATGTAATTAGCCGTTTCTATTTTAATGCTGCTGTACAGCCCCAGAGCAGCACGAGCTAGGTTGTTGTTTGAACTCCCAGCGCCAGGAAAGTTTGAGGCTGTCAGTATGGCTTTTGGTTATTATGCTTAACTTTATATAAGGCAGCTCAGAATTAAGCCACTCTCTCTGTGGAAAGCCATTAGTCTGGGGACAGACAGAGTGGGGATTGTCCTACCCAGAGAACCCCTCCCTTCCACAGATGAATCATCCCACTGAATACATTACCCACAGCAGGGAAACATATTTTGTCTTGAGAACAATTTTCCCATAATGATAAGTAGCCATTTAAAGAGAAATGTAAGTAGGACTATGCCCAAATATCCTGGAGAATTGACAGTGGAGCTTAACTGCCATTCCACATCACCCTTTGTGTAACTTCAAAAGTTTTGCTTTTGGGGAAAAGAGTTCCCCAAACTATTCTAAAACAAGTGAAGAAAGACAGTGTCCTTCCTGAAGGACATTTGAGTAACGGAGGTAAAAGCTCATCTGGGTCCTCAGATCCTCAAGAAGTTCTACAGCTGCACCATCGAGAGCATCCTGACTGGTTGCATCACCGCCTGGTATGGCAACTGCTCGGCCTACTATCCGCAAGGCGCTATAGAGGGTATAGTACGTACGGCCCAGTACATCACTGGGGCCAAGCTTCCTGCCATCTAGGACCTCTATACCAGGCGTGTCAGAGGAAGGCCCTAAAAATGGCCAAAGACTCCAGCCACCCTAGTCATAGACTGTTCTCTCTGCTACCGCACGGCAAGCGGTACGGAGCGCCAAGTCTAGGTCCAAAAGGCTTCTTAACAGCTTCTACCCCCGAAGCCATAAGACTGCTGAACAGCTAATCAAATGGCTACCCAGACTATTTGCATTGATGCTGCTGCTACTCGCTGTTTATTACCTATTATCAATGCATAGTCACTTTACCCCTACCTACATGTACATATTACCTCAATTACCTCAACTAACTTGTACCCCTGCACATTGACTCGGTACCGGTATCCCCTGTATATAGCCTTGCTATTGTTATTTTATTGTCATTTTATTTTTTACTTTAGTTTATTTAGTAAATATTTTTCTTAACTCTTATTTTTCTTAAAACTGCATTGTTGGTTAAGGACTTGTAAGTAAGCATTTCACGGTAAGGTCTACACCTGTTGTATTCCATGTGACAAATAAAATTTGATTTGGTTTTCCCCTTCCCTAACCTCCACATTCAACATCATTCAAGCTGAGAGCTACAGCAAACTCCTGGCACCACATCAAAGCAGGGCATGCGTCTGCCTCGCTTCCTCTCCCTCTGCCCCCTTTCCTCTGTTCCCTCCATCTCTGGAGGTGTCGGAACAGAGGGAGGAAGGGAGCGAGGGAGGGAGGCGACCAGGAGGGCTTTGTGTGTTGTAATCAGATGGGGCCTGCTCCTCAGACAGCGCTACTGTGAAAAGTCAATTCAGACTATGATGCTTCGAGTGGGTGCTCAGCATGGGACTAAATAAAATAAGTGAAACATGGTGGGGCAAGACATTTCACTCAGAGAAACTTAAAGTGCTGAGAAAGGCAGGAATGTCAGACAGAAATTGCACCTTTTCATCAAGGAAGCAAGAGTTAAGGTAACATTTGCTGTAGTTTAAGACAAGTGAAGTCTGCCTACGAGACAGCTGAGCCAGGCACTGTATCTAGTGTGGTCTACTGTATGTGCTACAAGACGAGCAGAATCATCAGTGCAATCAGTCAAACATTTTCTGGGGGGAAAATGTCAACAATGAGATGGAAGCTGAGAGCTCAGTAGGCGATGCGAACACTCAGACATACTGTACAACGACATAAAGAGTAAATTAACAGCATAGTGAAGCAAGAGGTAATAGATAGTATTTTATTTTAAAAGAGAAATTGAGAAGCACTCATCAATCAGCATATTAAAACATTTTTGCAATCTAGTTAATCAAGCTTACGTAATGGCGCCTTAAAATAAATACTTTTAAAAACGAAATTCAGACAGAATATGCGAGATCCAAATGAAACAAACAAACCAGTTATTCAGATTCAGAAGAGATTAAACTTTTAAAAAGTGTCCATAAAATTCCCAAACTCAATCCCAACAAAAAGTTGTATAAAACATTTAAGTACTTCGCAAAATACATAATCTTACAAAATGTTTATTTTTATTTTTTTACTTTAAATATTTTTTAACATTGTAAAATATTGACTGGTATTATAACAAGAAACCAGGTATTTTCATGTAGAATAAAAAACAACAGAATGTGCTTCTGCATTTTTTACATTTTATTCACATATGTCATGAATGTATGATCAAGTCCTCCACAGCAGGTGTTACTGGTCTGATGGAGCCTATGACAGGTGAATTGCACATGGCTGCTCCTCTTCAACCTCTCCTCATGGCCAGCTTACATGCTGAGGTGAAGATGCACGCTGGTGGCCATGGTAACCAGCAGCACCACACCATTGAGATGCAGTCTTTTCCAAGGCACCCACACGTCATTCTCAGGACCACACATAAACCATCTTTCAAACAGCCCCCATACCCGCCTGGGCTGAGTAAAAACAATGAATGCACTTTAGTTCACAGCCCTCTGTTAAGCTAATTCACTCCTATGTCTTTCTATCTATGACACATTATCAACAAATGTTGCTCACATTTTTCAAATATAAAAAGAATTTGGTTCCGTTTAACAGTTCCTCCACTGCAAAAAAGCCCTCAGTATCGGGGGAGAAGATTTCAAGAATACAGGTTACAGTACAAAAATGTGGTCCACGTTGTATCGCATTGAAAGATGCATGTTTTTCTGTTGATGTCTTGAGCTCATCTCTCACCTACCTACATTTACATTTACATTTTAGTCATTTAGCAGACGCTCTTATCCAGAGCGACTTACAGTTAGTGAATACATATTTTTTTTATACTGGCCCCCCGTGGGAATCAGATGGGGCCTGCTCCTCTACCTACCTACCTACCTACCTACCTACCTAGACCCCATGGCTTTCCCTTCACACTTAATGCACATGTACCATATCGCCTCTTGACAGGACTGAGTGGATTCAGTTCTACCCACTCAAAGACCGTCATACTGTACATTAGCACCTTTGACCAGCAAAGCATAGGAACCCATCTACTGTATCTATCTTCTCAGGACCCCACAGGAGATGCCCTTTAGAGGCTTATAAATCTGCCTGTGAAAAATGATTGTTGTTTTTTGTCTAAATATCATGATCCTCTCATTCTAAGCATTATAGAATTGGCCAAATGACGAATTGTAGACAGAGAGTGATGGAACAGTGACAAGAAGAAACACACTTAATTCACAGCTGTAATATTGTTTGCTGACAGTAGGCTTAACAGCAATCTCAAATTTGCTAACCAAGAGCTTTGCATTTGTTAAGGGATCAGTGGGAGATACTATAAGAGCATGTAAACAAACGGCAGTTGGGCTTGAGATTGTGATGAGCTCCTTCCACTAGCCTGCGCTTTACCCTATTCTTTGGACCGCTCGTGATCAGATGGGATGGTTCAAACCAGAGCCAAACATTATTTCTAAGTGCAAAGGCTTAAGGATGACTTCAACCCCCAGAACATCTCTCTATCCTTTCTTAATATTTACATCTGTGCTGCAGAAAAACAACAAAATATAACTTTAAATAAACTCTCTAGGCACTGTTGATTTCCAAGGCTTTTTTCTGCAGATTGAGAAGAATTTTTTTAGAAAACAAACATTTACAAATAAGAATCAGAGAGTGATGGTTTCGGCAGACCTAACCCTTAGCATTCTCATCCATTTAAATATAGCGGGGTCCTCCAGTCCTCCAACACAACCCAACAGACTAGAAGCTCCTACACTGGAGTGGCTATATGGATATGGACAGTCAGTCAGTGTCTAAAGGATAAGTGTGGTGAAGTTCTCAAGGTAAATGTCATATCAGTCTCAAGCCTGTCTTTCACCCTCCCTTCCCTCCTGATAAACCAAAACCAGCTCTCCCTCAGGCCATGATCTTCTGCGGGATCTCTATGGAAGCCTTGAGGAAGATGGAGTTGTCTCGGACATAGTTCCTCTTCTTGATCTCTTCGTGGGAGATGAACTTGGGGTAGCCGAAGCCCAGGGTACTCTCATCCAGCGAGTTGCGGGTGCTGCACGGCTTCTGGAAGTTCTTCCAGTTGGGGTCAGGGTTGAAGGTCTCTGTGATGTGTTGGGGCTTGGACAGCGACAGGTCGCTCTGGTCCATGATGGAGAAGGTCACCTTGTAGGAGAAGGGCCACTCGAGCAGGTTGTCGTACTCCCCCGGCAGCACCCGGATGTAGATGGACAGGTGCGAGCCCTCCCCACTGCCGTTACCGTTGAGAAACGCAGACACCTGCAGCTTGTAGCCGTAGCGATGGGTGTAGAAGGGCGGGCTGAAGAACTCATGGTTGTTCCGGAGCTTGGCCTCCTGGAGTTTACGGGAGTAGTCGCTGAGCTTCCAGATGAGCACTCCATCGTTGCTGACTGACAGCTCCTCCATCTCCCTCCGCAGCTCCAGGATCTCCTGCCGCTGGCGCCCCACCAGGCTGCACATCATGGTCAGGTGGGCCTTGGTCGTGTCCTCCAGGTGACGCCCAATCGCCAGTTTTGGGCACTGCAAAGAGAGAGGAGAGACTGGTTAGGGAGAGGTCAATCACTGTGTGTAGCAAGGAGGGTGAAACTTTGTATAGTACAAACTCAGTATAGAAATGTGTTGGATTTAATAATGTGGTAGAGTATGCACAGAACACTAGATTGTTTTGTCTGTTTGTGTTTCACATTCAAGCCTCCTACAGTAAGTGAATGTTGTGTCCGTCTGCTGATCAGCTGCTCTTTTGGGAGCCCTGCCATACAAACTTGTGTTTGGTGTACTGAACATCTGCACGCTTGGTTGTATTCTGTTGCCTGATGCCTTCGCGGTCGGGGAGAGAGTCATTCATGTATTTTTGTCAGACCATCTGCATTGCTATGGACTGAGCTTTCCAAACAGAAGGACAGAAGCTGACAACACAAACAATGAAACCTATCTGCTCTGACTCTGGGAGCTCTCCACATTTTCTCAGATTGACGTCAGTTTCAAAAATAGACTAAAATGCGCTGTCAGAGCAGAGGAGATGTGTGACTCTCATTAAAATAGAGCGTAGAGGCACGGACGGGCAGAAAGCGCTGTATGTTGGAGACAATCATCGCTTTGGACATAAGTTACTGGGTTTCAACGCAACTGGAGCATGAAGCATAATAATCCAAATATAATTTTGGAAACATGCACAAAAAACAACCCGAGAGTGGAAAAATGATAAAACTTGACGTCAATAAAGCAGTGGGCAGTAATGAAAAATAAAACTCTGCCTCTTGCAAGAAGCTAGAATCAAAGTTTCTCTTTCAGAGTCTGAAGTAATGAAAAAGCAGCTCGAGCGCAGCAGGTCAGCCTTACCCTGTGTTTGCAGCCGGCATCTTTGAAGGGGCAGAGGATGGGGGCACTGCCACAGTTCTCCTTCACGTGATTGGCCAAGTCCTCCCGGGCGATGTTGGGGGTGCCACACTGGTTTGGACATGCGACTGGAAACCGAGGGCAGTGGTACTGATGGTTCTGGAGGGTAGAAAAAAGTCATTTAATTTATTCTTTAATTTATTACATTCATTTGACATAGAAAATCAACATTTCTGTAACTGTGCCAGATTTAGACAGCCAGGATCAGAATTTTTTTATCAAACAAAATGCGCTCGGTATATCATGCAAGCATCTTTGCCACCGATTAAGAGAAATAGCATCGACAAGATAACATGAAGCACTATTCACAGCAGAATCACTGTATGAGTGATTAACAAACGTTGTGTATCATATTGAACAAATGGCTGTCTATTAAAATGTATGAATGGGATAAACGAGTTGATTACAGAGCTGATCTCTGCATCATAAAGCATGTGCTCTGAAAGGGAGACATAATGAATAAACTGTGGGTATGAGAGGAGAGTGCGAGTGGCTGGCCGGCCGCTGGGCCTGAGGACAGGATGTGTGCAGACACAGGCACTGCCAGCACAAACAGCAGCAGGCACACACATCGGGCTGGCACAGAGAAGGTGGCACCATGAAAGCCAGTGTTCATGCAGCCGTGGGCCCAGTGCCATCCCGCTCTACAGAGACTGAGAACCCTCCTTCATCCAGGACTGAGACTGCACTGTTCCTTTATCACACACAGTGAAATAGGGGAAGGACTCATAACAAACCTCTGGAATAAACCTTCAAAACACTTCATTCACACAGGTCGGAGTTTGGGCACTAATTTAGGTCTGGCCTTCCAAGCAGTAATACAAATACTACATTGATGGAAAATAAAATGTACCCATTAATCAAGTGATGACAAATATGATTGTAAAACAAGACATGCAGGAGAATGTAGGGAAGGAAGAAGTCCTAGAGCTTGTTCGGTCAGAGGAGGTGTGTTGGTGTTGTTGACTGACCTGGATGGTGTCGAAGACAAACTCCTTGCCACAGTACTTGCAGGGCTGCGTGCGTTTGGGACACTCAGCCAGACTGTGCTGGGACAGGAGCCGGCGCATCATCCGCGCTCCACACTTATTCTCACAGTACACACTCTCCTGGGGACAGATACCCTGGTGGTTCTGGGAGAGAAGACAGGACACACACACAGGTCAAATCAAATTGTATTTGTCACACGTGCCGAATACAAACAGGTGTAGATCTTACAGTGAAATGCTTACTTACAAACCCTTAACCAACAATGCAGTTTTAAGAAAAATAAGTGGTAGGTAAAGAGCAAGAGTAAAATAACAATGTAAATAGTCTGGGTGGCCATTTGATTAGCTGTTCAGGAGTCTAATGGCTTGGGGGTAGAAGCTGTTAAGAAGCCTTTTGGACCTAGACTTGGTGCTCCGGTACCGCTTGCCGTGCGGCAGCAGAGAGAACAGTCTATGACTAGGGTGGCTGGAGTCTTTGACAATTTTTAGGGCCTTCCTCTGACAATATTATTATTATTATTATTATTATTATTATTATTATTATTATTATTATGGTTCATTGTTTAGCTCACTCTGTTTAGCACATGTGAATCCTTTAAGATATGGGTGAGGCTAAGGCTTAAGAGGGTGTGAACGATGCTGAATGGGTGTAGTCAAAGAAGAGCTCTCCAGTAGGTGTACCAAAACATTCAAGGGCCATTTTCTCAAAAGTGGGGTTACAAGTTGATCAACTTTCAAAGCAGAATTACTTTCCCATTGTTCCTCAACTGCAGTGTATGATATACAATTTTCATCCAACGTAAAAAACACAATTTCTAATGTTGATACATAAGACCGAATCGAGGTGGAGGGTCACAATTGGTCAGATAAAAAAAAAGTTATTGGTATTCAGTAATTCTATGATCTCACTGCCACTGAAAATGAACAAATAATTATCCTATAAAAAGCTGGAGCCATATTAATGATTCTGTTATGGTGGAAAGGCCACATTGGGCCTGTATAAACAGAGGAGGGGCAGCCTGTAAACAGTAACAGAGGTGTTAGTGAGAGAGGCTAACTTTAACCCTGAGGCACCACTTCTCCTGTACGGAGAGAAAAACACATGAAAGGTGCACAGTTCTACCTCTCTCCCCTCACGCCAACACAAGTGTTATTTCTAAATACACTGCTACCATCGAAAGCGAGCGTCATTTACATACTTGGCTTCCTGGAGTAGACACTACAAAGATTGCTATTCACTCAGTGAAAAATGTGGCCTTAACCAGGTTGTTTACTTGCAAGTGCTACTCTGTAAAAAAAAGAAAAAATAGGTCTCTGCTTGTTGTTGTTTACCTCATAGGCCTCCCCGGTGAACTCACTGCCGCAGAACTCGCACTTGACCTTGCGCTTGGGGCAGTCGTGCTGCAGGTGGTCGGGCAGGTCACGGCGCGTCAGCTTGATGGAGCAGCGGTTGGGGCAGGGGATCACATTGAAGGCGCAGGTGGAGAAGTGACCCTGAGGGAGACGGAGGGAGACGGGGGGGGGGATGTGTCAGCAGCCAGACACCGACACGCTCTCTCAGCCTGCATTTAGCATTTAACCAGGCCTCCGCTAGCAGATAACACAACACACTGGAGGCACGAGACACAGGGCTATGGTCACAAAAAAGGTATCTTAGACAGGATGAGAGAGGGAGAGGATGAGGGAGAGATTTGGGGGGGGGGGGGGGGGGGGGGGGGGGGGGGTAAAAAGGGTTAGAAAGCCAGGCAGGCAGCTACTGACCTGGAGCTGCTTCATCTGTCCGGTCCAGCGACAGCCTTCCTCACTGTGGATGCAGCGGATGGGCAGAGCCAGGATCTGCTGCTCCAGCTCTGGGTCAGGGTAGATCTGTAACCATGACACAACCATGAGGACATGATCAGCACTGGCTCACAGGTATAGATACGCCTTGTCCAGCCTATCTCCTGTTTCTGTAGCATGAGGCAGGTTTTTGATGTACAAGTACAACCCCTGGACAGGAAGCTTGCATTAATAATACAATGAAGCCTTGACAAAGAGGGTCTGAGCGACCAGCAGCAAAACAGCAGAAGAGGAAGTTCAAAGTACTAGTCCTGGACATGTGACATGAATGAATCAGTCCAAAAATTAGGAATAACAATTCAACTTCTGTGAACACAAGAACACATACTGCAATGTTTATGGAATTATAGTTCATGACATTTAGAAAACATCAGAGAGAGAATTAGAGTGAGGAAGGAGGGAGAGAGAGAGAGAACGCCCCATAGTCACTGATCAAGAAGGATGAGGTCCTTCTCTATCCAATCAAGCCAAATCCGCTCCCTACAGAACAGTATCCTCTGGTTTTACAGATTTAGGCCACACACACACTCTCTCTGTGTGACAACCCATGTGAGGCAGCACTGCATGCATCTCCGTCCCTATGGTGCCCAGGCTGCCTCTGTCACACGAAGAGAAAAGGAACTTCCTCAAAATGTCAAAGCTGTCGCTAAAACAAATAACAGCTCAACTGTAGTCACACGCCTTCATACGAGAGGCGGTCTCTTTCTCTATAGGCTATGAATCAAAACATTGAGATACTATGGTTTTACCAGAGCCTAAATGTTATTTATACATACATAAGTACACTGTAAATGTTTATGGTCTTGGCACCCTATTAGAACTGTAAAAGTCTGAATTGTAAAAGGTAAATGTGCAGTGGAATTAAAAAGGGTCCAGTGAATAATACATTAGGGCCAAAAGTAGATCTAAAGTAAAACTTTTCACTGGTCCATTTTTATTGGTCCATTAACTTATATGAACTGTTATGTCATCGTAAATAACAGCTGTGTACTACAGTAGTTTAACTAGTGAGGATTAATTATATATCACATTAACCATGCTGTAATGAAAACTGCCTTCAAATCATCAAAATATAAAGTAGAGAAGAATCTTGCCATTTGAAAAGAGCACAGCACTATGGCAGAGAATTAGTGTGCTGCTCCCAGCCTGTGATGTGCGTGTTGTGTGTCAGGTTGGGTACTAAATAAAGAATAGTCTATCTGTGCAAATGGACCAATAAAGCAAGTATTGTATTGTGCTACAGAACAGCACTGTCTCTTACAATGTACTGCAGCATGTACCCAGCATAATAATGCATGATGTGTGATTGAAGCAGATAACCGCAATACTATTTCCTACTGGAAATCACATGCGCTGAGCCAAGATGACAAAGAAACCAAATCCTCTAAAGTAAACCTTAACACTCCCTCAGTGTTCCAGCCTGGGAGTCTGCAATAAAGACCTTTTAATAACATAGTCCCTGGCGGATCAGGGAACTAAAGCTCTTTGGAGCTCTAGCTCTGTCTGTCTGTGTTTTGGAAGAGACAGTCAGCTCCAGTCTCACAGTAGAACCCATCCCTTTACATTACTGACATTCTGCTTCCTCTCTTTGACAACAGGGCCATATTTTAATGACATGTTGCACTGCCTGGGTGAAATGAGAGCATTATTAGAATTGAGCGGTGTTCAGGGGAGGGCAAGGACAGGGACATAGTGTAATGAGCTGTACCCAGGGAGCTAGATTGTGTCCCAAACAGCACCTTATTCCCTATATACTGCACTACTCACAGGGTTCTGGTCAACAGAAGTGCACTATATAGGGAATAGGGTGCCATTTGGGACGCACCCCTAGTCACCAGCAGGGGGGTAATTTACAGGTGACTGGGAGGCTGTGAAGGCATCAGTAAATAACAGTGTCTGACAGGTTAGCAATGAGCACATCCTCCCTGTGGGGACCCGTGTTCTGCTTCTCTGTCGTGACTACAGTCTTCTTAAGAGCTTCGCTAGCAGTCGCTGCTCGGCATAAGCAGCGCTACCCCATTGACCACACCGTCACCACCTCACTGGATTACTTCCTCTGAACTCCTAACACACTTTAGCATGCTAATGTTTTAGTATAGAACATGATGGGCAATTGATTAATTCATGGAAAACTAGCCAGTGAGACTGTACAGTAACTGACATGATGAATTAGTGGTCATTGGTGTTTTAATTCCTTTGTTAAGCGTTAAGCTTGGGGTCCTCTCATGCACAGAGCAGAATTAAGTCCTTATCCTTTCGTTGCACACTCTGGCACAATGGGGAAATCAAGTTTGTGAGAGAGTCATTCTTTCATTACGAATAGAGACTGCCACCATCTCCCCCCACAGTACAATCTGATTAAATGCTTAAAAGAAAAGACTGAGTAAGAAGCCAAAAGTTTAATTAAAGAGATTTAGATGTGGTATTCTTTCTCTGGACCGGGATGAAGAGGTTTAGGAGAGCTACTGTTTTAGTGATTTTGCCTCCCTTTTCTATCAGATCAACCCAATACCCTGCTTTTCTCCAGCAATGCAATACTTAAAAATATAACACAACTTTTGACTTTGGCTGCTAGGCTGGAGAGTGCTTTTACCACTCCCCAGCCTCTCTCCGGTTGTGTAATAATGTCTGCTCATTTGTTTTTCATGTGTACTGTATTAAACTATCAAACTTCCATGTTGACAGTAGTGTGCGAGAGTGAACTGTTTTGTGCATTGAGAAACGGACCGTCATCAACCCTGACATTTCAAGGGGAATGAGTACCCTGTGGTCCTTCGTTAGCACAATTAGTGGGCCTATACTAGGATGGGTAGCTAGCTGCCTGAGCCCTCTCTCTGTCTGTTGGTCTATGGGTCTGGGGAAAGGGACATGGTGACTCATGTGTCCTTGCGGTGTCCAAAATGGCACCCTATTCCCTATATAGTCCACTACTTTTGGTCAAAAGTAGTACACTATTTAGGGAATAGAGTGCCATTTGGGTCACACCCCTTCATATTCACAGTTAAAATAAGGCCTCATCTTAGCCTGACCAGGACGTGGTACAACACACAGATCTACATTCATAATCAGTGTGTTACTGGGTAGCCCGGAGACATGATTTTGTAAGAAGGAGCACATCAGAAAGTGAGGGTGAATTCTGTTGATTGTGGCATGGTTGTAGGCTTAACTATGGTTGTAGGCTTAACTATGGTTGTAGGCTTAAGTATTGCTTAACTGGCACACATATCGTATTCAAACTTGAATGGGTGGGACTGTCTGGGACATGTGAGAAAGTGGGTAAGTGGGTTTTAATCGTACCTTGGCATAGTCCAGGGGCAGCTGGTCCTCTGGGCACTTGAAGACCCCCTCACTGTAAGACACAAGAAGGAAAGGACACGTTAATAATCACTGACAATCCATTTTCATGATAGGGTACCACTGTCCTAAGAGGTCCTTGCCTCTCCTTCAGTTGCCTTCAAAAGCATCTCTGCTCTCACACACCCATCCCAACCACACTGCACTGTACAATAAAGCCAGATTACTTTATCTGAGCCATTGGCTTTTATGTAGTTGTCCTTTCATCTTCCCTCCCTCTAGGGATTTATATCCACAAATTCACAGTTTTATTACTGGAGAGGAAAAGAGAACACGTTGGAGCCTGAACTGTCTATCTAGAATACATTAAGGGCTTCTCTCGCTCGCCCCCGCCCTACCCCTCCCTTTCTCTCTCGCTGTCATGTCAAAGGTGTTCAATTTTTACCCCTCTTTTTGAAGGCAGGGGGATGACAATCTGATCATGTGTGAAGAGACTTCCTGCTTCCTATAAAAGAGCAGGAGGACGGTACGCCTGGTCTTTGTCCCTCCCTCCCTCCCTCAGGAAATATTGATTGCTGATTTCCCAGTGAGGATGGTGGCGGGTCTGGGCAACTAGCTGCTGCCTCTCTTTTCTCCAGCGGCAATAAAACCCAAATGAAGATCTGGGATCTCTGGTTTTATCACACAGGCAGCGCCAAAAATAAAACACTCACTCACTGCCCTGATTTAGAGGGCTTTTACCAAGGGGCCAGTTGAGATGGGTGTCGGTGGCCCTCTGGTAACAACGCAACACGTCTCCAGTCCTGATGTCACCATTAAATATTCACTCTGGTAAATAAATGGAGATGACGTCACTGCAGTAGTGTAGGCAGGCAGGCAGTGGGGGTGAGCTCACTGCGTGCTGAGCCCAGAGATCTACTGTACAACAGATCTATAAACATGGCGTCGACAGACATGTCAGCTCTGCTTCTAGCTCCTAAGCAACTTTGCAGTATTTTTGTGTGTGTTATTTCTTACAAGCATTTCACTACAACCGCATAACATCTGCTAAATATGTGTATGTGACCAATAACATTTTATTTTATTTACAGCAAAGCGAGTCAATCAGTGACACAAAGAGCAACTTTAAAACGGCCATCAGTGGCTGATCCCCTGAGATGCATTAGGGCTGGAACACACCAATAACGGTTGCCTGCTGAGAGTACTTGCGAACCAAGTGCAAACTGATTTTCCATGTACAATCACGTGAAAATGTCAGCAGTCAGATGTCAACAGCGTGCTGAATGAATGGTAGACGAACAGGAAATCCACACTCTGTGCGATGTGTGCACCCCTTAAAGAGACCTGTCTGTAGTATAGTGGTGGGCTGCATGCCCCCTGCTGAGCCATAGGGGCAGCTGGGACATGGATCAGGGGGATCAAGAGGGTCAGTCAGTCAGTGACATGAGATGAGGATGTACTTCCCTTTCCTCGTGGCCCAGTGCACATACATGGGATCGTAATATCATTTTCATAGGCCGCAGCCAGACAGGCATCTTGTTGCAACAATGGCCACACTTTGCTTTGCATACCTTTTCATAACCTCAGTGTTTTGGGTGGAAGCCACAAGGCCCTGAAGCTCCGTCTGTCCTACTACCATGTACGAGGTAAACAACAGAAAGAAAAGCTTTAATGAACAGACTTCTCCTGACCTCTCCATTCTCTAAAGTACATTAATAGATTAATGGAAAAACAAAGAGCCCGAAGGGGGCAGGGAGGGCAGTGGTCTCTGCTCCCAGGGTCCTACAATGGGTGCCTCCCAAATTGCACTCTTTCCCCTATATAGTGCACTACTTTTGCACTATATAGGGAATAGGGTGCCATTTGGGATGCACACAACGTCCCTATTGACCAGGGCTCCCGTGGCCCTTGTTACCCTGTAATCTAGTTGGCCTCAATGTCAACTGACAGAACCTGAGGCCCCCAGGGAGTGGACCAGAGACCCAGGGCCACGTGATGGTGGAACACATGATCAGTGATCATCCTGCACTTTCCCAGGCTGGGCTGCCTGGCCTGCCTCTCCAGCTGCTGTGGAATCAGCTGCATGCAGAATAACAGACCAGAGGGATGACAGGGGGAGGGGGAGAGAGGGAGAGAGAGAGAGGTGAGGGAGGGGGAGTTTAATGCATTACGAGACAGCAGTAATTCCAGTCCATTAGGGTCACTCTGTCAGCAGAGAGCTGGAGAGCAATTAATAAACGACAATCTATCGATCGTCAGGGGAAAGAGTCCAGTCAGAAGAACATCTCCTATGTACTGTGAAATAATTTACTCATCTCCGTCATTAGAGCCTCATCTATTTGATGTTGATGATGCATTTTAGAGCCACACGGCCTGACTGCATGACGCAGAGCTGTGGACTACATCCCAAATGACACCCTATTCCCTATATAGTGCAGTATTTTTTACCAGCGCCCACAAAAGTAGTGCACTGTATAGGGAATAGGGGGCCATTTGGGACATGGGGCTTTGTAGTAACTCTTCCCCCATATAGAGAAAGGAAATAGAAACAGACAAAGGGGCTCCTTGCTGGACTAGACAGGGGAGATGTAAGCAGCGCAGGAAAGCAGGGTTTACAGGTAAAGGACCCACCCAGGCTGCTCCTCTGCTCTGCCTGACACAGAGGCAGACAGGCGAAAAGAGTGTAGTCACAGGCTGTCAGGATGATTCCCTCCCCGCTTCGCAGAGAAAGTCCTCCAGCCACGCATTCATCTGCTTGGCCCGCTGTTCATAATGCTACCCGACTCTCCAGCCCGCTTGTTTGTGGAGCTCACTGCAGCTTGGAGACAGCACATTAGCAGAGAGAGGAGGGGACATTGGATTAATAATAGCTTCTATACAAGTCTTCCCCTTCTCTTGACAAACCATTTCTATGACTACTTGAAGGCCTCCTTACAGTGGAGAGTAAGATTGCACTAATGACTGTTCATTGCCCTTGACTACTTCAATGCCCACCTCCAATCACTCAGCACTGTGTGGCTGTGAGAGGATAAACAATATTGACTCACCAACCAACGGCCCTACTGATACCAACAGTTTCACTGCAACTAGGCTACAGTTTCACGGGAGAAAAATATGTGCCTACTACGATACACAGGGCAGAGATAACTGTGCCTGACTTGAAAACAGCTCTCACAAGCAAAGTCAATGATTATACAGGGTGAGAGGCTGATAAACAACAAACTAACCAACCACTCATGTTGGGAAAGCACTGCAGACAGAACCGCTCAGTACCCACATACCGTGTTTAATACAATCAGCACATTAAAATGTCAATGGGTTCCCATCCTTTCCCTGTCTCTCATACCGTGACAGTAGCCTATGCTCCACAGCTGCTGTGCTGCAGCACAGGGAGGCCAACATCAGATCCAGCAGGCCTGTGGACCAAAACAGCAGAAGGCCGGATGAGTATGCCCCACAGCTAATTACATGTTCAAAATCATCCACTTATCTGGTCAGACAACAGCATTCACCCCAGCTCTAATTAGGGGCATTTCCCATTTCCCCTCCATGGATGAAAGTCCCCCCCCCAGCATCACCCTATTATTTCCCTGTACCCCACTGGCCCATCCCCCACTCCCCAGCCCCTAATTGCACCCTCTCTCTTGCCCTCAAATCCTCTTGTAGGCCCTGAGAGCAGATTAAACAGCCATCCATTGAGCCCAGTGATAGCGATGAGGACAGCAGTCACAACACTGTTCCGTCACCCTCCATACGCCTCCTGACAGGCAGACGGCCGCCAAGAAGAACAAGACAAATCCCCCAGGTTTGGTTGGCCTACAGAAGACTGCAGACGGCCTGTCAGGGACAGTACAGTACAGCCACCACACACAGAGAAAGAGATGGCTCCTGATGGCTGCTACCTCACAGACTGAGGATTAAGAATGACCCTGAGGCCTGGTCTCTTGACTGCCAGGGAGACCCTAACCATGTTTACAATAGTAGAGGGCATGGCTGTGGAGAGCTAAACAAACAGCTCTCAGATGGGTTTATGAGCGTTCTGGAGAGCAGGACGTCTGTGACACATTAACGTCCAAAAGAGAGTTCTACTATCGCTGTGAGAGTTTGTATGCGTCCCAAATGCTACCCTATTCCCTAAATAGTGCACTACTTTTGACCAGGGCCCATAGGTAATTTTACTCAGAAGATCTCATCAAGACACTTGACTGGCTAGTAGCTGTATCAGGCCTGGATTGCTTGTCTTCTCTGGAAGCTTACCCTGAGGTTTTATGTCCATCCTCATGCAAAATAATTTTATTTTCAAGTAAAGAAGTGGATTATCTCTTCTACACAAACAAGAATTTAAATGCCATCAGTTCCCTTTATTCAGGTTTCCTGGCTTTCAGTCTCCCAGCTGATCCCAATTCCATGCTTCTGCTTCCAGAATGTTGGGAGAAAACAGGAATCTTGTTTCATCTCAGCAGGAGTTCCTTTAATCCCCCAAATCCAACAGTTTTTTGTGAGTATATGAATGTGTGTGTGTGTGTGTGTGTGTATTATAACTAACGTCAAATTATCAGCCTCTAGTTTCTAGTGTTAAGATGTCCCTTCACTGGAACTAAGGGGCCTAGCCCAAACCATGAAAAACAGCCCCAGATCATTATTCCTCCTCCACCAAACTTTACAGTGGCACTATGCATTGGGCTAGGTAGAGTTCTCCTGGCATCCACCAAACCCAGATTTGTCCGTCGGACTGCCAGATGGTGAAGCGTGATTCATCACTCCAGAGAACATGTTTCCACTGCTCCAGAGTCCAATGGCGGCGTGCTTTACACCACTCCAGCCGATACTAGGCATTGCGCATGGTGATCTTAGGCTTGTGTGCGGCTGCTCGGCCATGGAAACCCATTTTATGAAGCTCCCTACGAACAGTTATTGTGCTGACGTTGCTTCCAGAGGCAGTTTGGAACTCGGTAGTGAGTGTTGCAACCGAGGACAAACGATTTTAAGCGCTACAGCACTTGCCGGTCCCATTCTGTGAACTTGTGTGGCCTGCCACTTCGCAGCTGAGTCGTTGTTGCTCCTAGACGTTTCCACTTCACAATAACAGCACTTACAGTTGACCGGGGCAGCTCTAGCAGGGGATACACTTGACAAACTGACTTGTTGGAAAGGTGGCATCATATGACGGTGCCACATTGAAAGTCACTTAGCTCTTCAGTAAGGCCATTCTACTGCCAATGTTTGTCTATGGAGATTGCATGGCTGTGTCCTCGATTTTATACACCGGTCAGCAACGGGTGTGGCTGAAATAGCAGAATCCACTAATTTGAAGGGGTGTCCACATACTTTT